AGAAATCCACAAAAAACCTTCAAGATGTTGTGTTGAATTGTTTTTTTTTTTACTTAATCATAAATGCTCCTATACATCATTAACCAAAATACCTTAACAAACTTTTTACCACTGGCTCAATAATACCACAGACTTCATTCAATACATCCACCATCCCATCCTTCCACGCAGCACCTTCTTGCAGATACCTTCAGCCACCCTTGAAATCAACCACATGCTGTACTAAAGCACTTAAAGCTGGCCCATCCTCGGTCATTAGGCTTAACGGTGTTTACGAGTGCTTAAGAAGCTGCTCTAATGAGTCTCATGAGTTACTGTAAGACATCAGGCCCCGGCGGCTCCATTAGGGCCCGGGTGCCGCTACAAGAGTGCCAGTCAAGTGGTTTATGTGGGCTCCAGCTGTGAGCAGTAATTGCTGGAGGTTGTGCATTCTTTCTCTGCCCTCACTTTCATCCCGGAGGTCTGGAAGCCCACAAACATGACTGTTAATTGTGTGTCGTAATAACCAGCGAATTAAAAGGCAATGTAAACATGCGGTGATGTCGTTGAAAGGAGATGATAACGTGTTAAGAGACTCAACCAGCTGCACGCACTGGAACAACTGCTGGAATGCGGTTTCGCTGGATAGTTTTGTGTGATTGGGTGTTTTTAACTTGCTTGCTTCCCTGTAGTAATGGATTTATATTTAAAAGAATAGGTTTTAACTATCTGATAACAATTTAGTTGAACGAGGCATTTATAAGATTCACAAGAAACATTTGTAAGCATGATATGACCTATTTTATGAATATGAATATTTTACACATGCTTATGACAACTGTCATTAATTGTCATTTTAAATGCAAAGATGGCATTGTTTAAGATGTCTTTGTCATGAAAACTTGACATTACCATTACATACCTTGTCATAAATCTGTCATAAACATGATTGTCCTGAGGTCATTTTATAACAGCATAATTCATATTTTCTTGACCTCAACTGTGGTACAAATTAAACAAGTCATTAAATATTGGTGGTGATGTTACAAAATTGTTTGACACAGTTTAGCAGTGCTTTATTGAAGTGATTATTAAAAGGGCAGTATCAACAGATTTTAAGCAGACATTCTACTCAGATAAATGTTTGGGTATACTCAGAGAGGGCAGTATTACTTCTAAACTGGCTACAAAATGTTTGTACACTGTTAGAAAGGGTTGATTAACTCGTCTGCCTTATTTAAATAATCTATACTTTTTATTCTTGTAATTTTTATACTTTTAATATTTTTATTTCATACATGTTTTTATTCTTTTATGTAATTTATTTCTGATTTTCTGTGTGTGTATATATTTGTGTAGGAAACCGTGTGCTGTGGGTAAAAGGTGTGTTTCAATACAGCTACCACCACACATATATTTTAAACCTATGGGAAGCAGTACTGTATTGACACTTTTAACTAAGAATGTTTAATGACAAATTAATTTAGAAAATGATCAGAAAACATTTATGGCACAATTATTATTGTCTTATGACCACCATGTTTATGACAGATTTATGACAAGTTACTGTATGTTGTCTTAATTGTCAAGTTGACTTATCAAAGAATTCTCAAACAATGTCACCTTTGCATTTAAAATTCCATAACTGAGCTAATGACACTTATTGACAGTTGTCATAATCATGCATAAAATCTCCATATTCTTGATTTTTGTTAAGTCATGATTATAAAAATGTCATGACAGTTTTATGAACAACCCTTCAAATGTTACCAACAATGTTACCAAATCACTGTTTTCAGGGCCTGCTTTGACTGGAACATATTAAAGTCTGTCATGTTTACATATACTCCAGACTGTCATGACATATGTATATATACACTTGTTTATCTATGTAAATGTGTTTTAAGCTGACATGTTTGACGGTTATACTTGTCCATGACACAACGTTCTAAAAATGCATGCATTTTTTTTACCCCATCTAACTTTCTGCATCTCAGTTTTTCAAAGCAAAACCACACTTTGACCAAACGGCCCCTTACATTGTACTTTGGTTGGAAATCTTTCAGATGCTCCATGTTTTATTTATCCGAAACGGCGCATTTGTCATCATAACAGTTAATACTCAGGATTAAGCGTTTTGACGGAGGCCCCGGCTTTCTGTAATGATTTTGGCCTGTCCAAAGGTCCTCTTCGGGAAACAAATTGGTGCTTCAGAAGTATTACAGATCCACTGCTGACTATCTAGAAACAGATTACACAAATAGCTGGAGGTGTTCCTGAGTCGCGGCTGCAATTGGCAGTCCATCTTTTGGCCCCGTAACACTCGGAGTTCTCCATGTGAGGTCACCCCATCTCACCCCCCCTCACACAAACTTCCAGCCGTCCTCCCCCTTATCTGGGCCTGTGGAGCCCTGGAGAGGAGGAGCAGGGCACAGGGTCAAAGTCTTTTCCTCTTTGGATCTCGGGGCTTGCTGGGAGAGGCTTGGCGAGAGAATGGCTGCATTAGAGCAAGGGTTGGGGGTCAAGATTTTAATTCTGTTAAAGAACAGCTGGTTTGAGTTTCTCTTCACGTCGCTCTCCCCTCCCTCTCCCCACAAATCCAGAGAGATGAAAAATTTGTTCAGAGGGGAACCAGTAAAATAAAAAAGGTTTACGGTCTGAAGCGCTTACCCCTACCCTGCTGTAGCATTAGGCAGGAATGCAATAACGTCAGCATTTGGCCAGGTTCAGATCGAGTTAAAACAAGGAAGTCCTTTTTTTGATGGTATTTTTGTGTCTTAGCAGCCTGTTGAAACTTAATTAAAAGGATTAAAGCTGTGGAGAGGAAATTCTAAATAATGGCTAAAAGAAATTACGCCTTCTAATATTCGATTACCAAGTAAATTGTAAGATTAAAGTTGAACACGTTTAAGTTTTACACTAAATTTCTTTTGTTCTGAAGGTCAATGATGCATTAGTGCATGCCTGCACTAAACCTCTAAAATAAAGTAGCCGAATTTTATTTCAATCCTCAAATCTATTTTGCATGAAGAAACAACCTTAATGTTCCTCACAAACTGTAAATGTCTTGGTTTCCCCTTGTCAGTGTGCAGTATTTTATCAATGTTTAATACGTGGACACCCATGTTTCTTTGCTAACAAGCATTAGTACAATTTCTAATGCTCAAAGTATCGGTATTGTTGTATTTGTGTGTGCGTGTGATTATGTGTTTGTGAATGTGTTTATATATATGAATGCAAAATTGTCGCTAACAATTTATATGGTTGAATTTAAAAAACTAAATAATTTATTAATGTTCAACTTAATTTGTTTGCTTAGATTCAGCCCTAATAAATAGTTTACAATCACTTAATGTCCTTCCTTCCTTAATATCCTTGATTATTTTAATTTTTTTGTGTGTGTGCTTATATGTCTTTATGAAAATAGAATTTTTTTTTTCTAAAGTTGGGCTATTTTAGTAAAAAATAACCAAACTTCAAGATTAAAAAGCATATTTTAGCTTTGTTTTCTGCTGTTAAATGTTCACTGGTCATTTTTTGATCAACAGGAGAGTTAAATAAGAATAAAGAAGTTGGTAATATCAGTTTACATCTACTGCAGTTTACTTAATTTATTAGTGTTTGTAGTTCAGGATAGGTCAGCAAAAAAATTTATTGTTTCATCATTAATTTATTTACTGAGTTTCTTTGTTCTGTTAAACACAAAAGAAAATATTCTAAAGAATATATATATATATATATATATATATATATATATATATATATATACCCCATTTTGAAAATGAATATCCATTTCTCTGTGGATATAGGCAATGTATTTTGGTGCATTTAAACAATACAGATTTATTAAACAGACATATTTATTAAAATAATATTTTAGTCACTAAACATATTTACATATTGAAAGATAATACAATTCAATTCAAGTAAAATATTGCAAAAAATATATAATCTACAAAACTTCAACAAAAGTATTCAATTGTTTTGCTTCTCTTGATTTTTCCTCTTTTTTAAATTTGCATTTAATATTTTTCTAAAATATATATATATATATATAGTTTTTTTTTTTATTATATAAGCTTCAGACTTGCCTTCAGTACTGACTAATCTTATGTATATGCACAAATATAATATTGTGTACATCTTCCAAGCAAAAAAAAATGAATTTAAAAGATAAATTTGCTTGGGGTGTATTTATATATGCTGAGCACTGTAAATAAATAATTTCAGTTTTCATATGATTTTCGGACATTCCTACACATTCCATGTTTCCATGAGATTTTGTGTTTGATTTGCATGCTCAGGTCCTGCTCACTAACATCCAGAGCGTTTGTGTGGGGAGGGGGAGAGAGAGAGGACTATAAATGGAAAACTAATAACAGATTTTCAGTCTGCTTTCTCCGAAAAGCTGGCCTCGGGCTGTGTTGGTGTGTGGCTCGGCAGCAATCAGAGGTCATAATTTCATTGGCGGTTAGCATCAGGTTCAATTTTTCTAGTACGTTACATTTACCAGAAAGTCTGGTTTGTGTTACTGTGTACACTGGCTGAATCAGCTCTGAGCTGCAGAATCATTCAGCCTCTCCAAGAAGTGGAGACCCTGAAGGGGGCACAGACGCTCTCATTATCCCACAGCTATCTCTTTGTTCAGGCACCGTTCTCTGGACTAGCACATCTAACACCAAGAGGCCACTTTCACCTCCTGAGAGTCCCGGTCCCATCCCAACTGAGTCTGCGTACCAGCAGATGTGTATATCGAGAGATCCCCCTAGTGGTAGTGGCCAAATGGGTTGGACCCCGGTCCCCTGATGATGGTGTTTATTTTTATTAAGATTTAGCAGGTGGGGGGTTACAGGCTGGAAGTGGTTGAGGGTTGATTTGAGCTTAGCCTTCAGTTGGGAATTCCTCAGTTGTTGACATTATTCACTTCATGGATTCAAGCTGCCAAATCTCACAAAGTTCTGCACATGAACACCATTCACTAAATCACTATGTTTTAATAATCCAATCAGCTCATCGTGTTGTTTCTGCTTGTTTTCAGGAATGCGATCAAGTCCATATTGACGATGTGTCGTCGGATGACAATGGGCAGGATTTAAGGTACACTTAGCACAGTATTAGCCATTTCACAGTTCACTTTGACCGAAGTCAAACTCATTGTCTCTTTCTCTCCTCTCTGTTTAGCACATACAATTTTAGCACAGACGGATTCCACGCTGCTGCCACCAGTGCCAACCTGTGTCTGGCCACCGGCGTACGAGGAGGCGTGGACTGGATGAGAAAGCTCGCGTTCCGCTACAGACGAGTAAAAGAAATTTACACCACCTATAAAAATAACGTCGGAGGTAATCCCCCAATAAACTGCTTTGCTAAAATTGCTAGGGAAGAGGGGTGGCGTGTCAACAAAAGCACTCATAGGTTTCTCAAATAATCCCTTATGTAGAAACCACTTGGTCTGAGTAAATTTCGAAATTTCTTAAAGTATTTGCGGGACGGTCCAACTCAAACAATGTTTCTGTTCATTTCAGGTCTGCTTGGCCCGGCCAAAAGGGAAGCCTGGTTGCAATTGCGAGCAGAAATTGAAGCCCTGACTGACTCCTGGTTAACACTGGCACTGAAAGCACTAACATTAATCCACTCAAGGTAGGCCTTAGCACAAGCAAATTATATAGAGCCCATCAGTGATACACATAAATCAGCGAGAGGCATGAATAATGGTGCGCTTCATACTCCAGTGCCCTTAAGGATGATTATTATTTTAAGAAACAGCATTTTTAGCCACCAATTATTTTGTGAATGGTTTAAGGGAAAATTCACCAAAATAAAATATATGTCATCATTTACTCACCTACTTTAATCTTTGGTTAAACACAAGGGAAGATATTTTGAACAATTCTGGTTGCTGGGACTCATCGAGTTCAATATTGTTTGTTTTTTCTACTATTGGAAGTCAATGAGTCCCAGCACCCAGCATTGAACAGCATATCTTCTTTTATGTTCCTTAGAAGAAAGAAACTCACATGAGAGAGAATAAATGATGAGGTGTTTTCCATTGTTAAGTAAACCATCCCTTTATTGATTCATCTTTAAGCTTGTCCTCCCTTAACTTCACATAATTTCCCTTTCAATTACAGATCAAACTGTGTGAACATCTTAGTGACCACAACACAGCTCATACCTGCCCTCGCCAAGGTCCTCCTGTACGGACTGGGAGTAGTATTTCCAATTGAAAACATTTATAGCGCCACTAAAATAGGTAAGTGTGACCTCAGTACTGATCTACCTGTGTCCATGAATGGACTCGATTGGAGTGTGGCCGTAATTACAGCGATGTTACATGTAAACATCAAGAGACACATGGCGTGTGATTGGGTTAGGCTGCAGAAGTGGCGGACACACGAGAGGGTTGATGTTCAGGAAGAGGTCTAATCAGGCTGGGATTATTTTCTTGGAGCTCAGCCTCAACCGGGCCTCTCCTTTTCAGGTCTACATATGAAACCACTTCGGCAAATTTATGTCATTCCACTTTGACATTTTTTTCTCTTCTTTCGAGTCTCTCCACTTTTTCGAATGCAAAATAAACACCAACCTTTACTTTCATACTTTAGTTTGCGCCTCTCTCGCTGTGGAATTTGCATGTGAGGTTGATTTAGCTTGTTAAACTCCATTTGTCCCATGTTCTGGGAGGAATAAGACACACTTAATGCTTCTCAGGCTGCTTTTATCTGGGCATCGATCTTATCGAATCTCCAAGCCAAGGCAAAGTGTTTACACTGCGTAATTTTGTGTAACTTATTGGGTATTTAAAGAGCTCCTCACCGGGACTTGGTCTTGGATGTGGCTTCCTTTGCTTTCCACAGCAAACTAAACCTGTTTCTTCTCTCCGCAGGAAAAGAGAGCTGCTTCGAGAGAGTAATCCAGAGGTTTGGGAGAAAAGTTGTTTATGTGGTGGTGGGGGACGGTGTGGAGGAGGAGCAAGGCTCGAAAAAGGTATGAGGTCAACTAAAATCTTTATGCTCCATTTCCGTTAAACGTTCAGTTTCTAAAAGGTGCAGTGGGTGCATTGCAAAAAAAAATGCTTTAATTACTTAGTTTTTAACTTGTTTCAAGTCCAAATATCTGACATTTCTAAAATCAAGAAGCATTTTCTAGACACGTAGCAAGTGTTACTTTGTTTGAGAAAGAAGTCAAAATTAAGTGGGGTTATCCATTAAACAAGCTAAATTATCTGCCAGTGGAGGTAAGCAAAATTAACTTCATTTCTGACTTATTATTTCTGAACACAAAACATTTTTACTCGTCTAAAAATGCTTCTTTCTAAAAACAAGACAAAACCTCTAAGAAAAACTTTATTTATTTATTTATTTATTTAAAGTACAGTTTGATTGTCTTCAGAAACATTTTATACTGGTTGAACTTATCTTCACATCCTGATGGCAGCCATTAACTTAAGTGGTCAGATGTATTTTAAGATTCTGTGGAAGGTATAGGACCAGGAAAAGTTTGTCTAATCAAAACGTTCAGTCCAAGCGTAATGATCAGTTGTTCAACCTGCCTGTCAAAATATGTAATTGCATACCTCTGCGCATCTTGTTTGCGCATAAAGCATTATAGCTCAATCACAGTTTGGAAAGAGCATGGCTGGAAAAAAACACTCTACATTCTTTTTTTTTTTTTTTTATAAGTTTGATTTTGTAGTTATTAACTGCACTATAAAGTTTTCTCTCTGGTAAATGTTACGTTACATATTGTAGTAACGTTATGTAGTTCATGCATTCAGGAAGCGTAGCTTTAGATACTGATTTGTTGGGTGCGTTATTGGCTTTCAGTGCTTTCAGACTAACAGCATTTTCCTCACTTTCCCCACTTTCTCACCTTTAAGTCCGTTCTCTGAAAATGTAGAAACAGTAATTCAACATTGTAATCAATGTTTGTTGTTATGGTAATTTCCTTGATAGCTCAAATGTAAAGTAGGCCGAGATGACATACATTGTGAGACTGTCCCATTGGTAATGCTAGACAAGTCCTCTCAGGCATGAATAGAACAGAAGCAGTCATGAATACAACATGCGTTTAAGAGGTTTAAATCATTGTTAGATCACAGCTAGAGTTTTGAAGCCAACGATTAACCTACAGTGAAAGCCTAATGAGACTATTTTCAATTTCACAAGGTTGTTTTTACAGCATTGATGTTGTAATGCAATTACAATACATTCAGTTAAATAAAGCACTTAATTAGTTGATCAAACGTAAAACGAGATGAAAGATCGTCAATAGCAACAGGCTAGTGCAGAAATTCCATTGAAAATACTGGGGTAAAATAAACTGTCATATTTTAAAGACATGGCAGGAATTGCAATTTAATGCAGTATTTCTTGTCAGATCTGAGACCTTCTTCATTTCGTATAACAGCCAGTGAAGATCTCTGGTTATAAAGAAATCAGATCTTAAACATGACAGTTTTGTAATTGAAAGACAGTTGACCGGAGCCCCTTGGGCTGCCTGTTTGAAAATTAAAGGTCCATGTGCATATAGCCCATTGAGGATATTCAGAAGAACATTAGGACTGTCAGAAGAGCAGACAATAAATAAATAAATTGTCTTATTTTTAGTCCATATATCTACGAATTCTTAAATCAAAAAGCTAAATAGTAATATTAATTTTAAATATTACAGGTAAAAAATATCATTTTGTTTTCAGAAATAATAAGTATAAATTAAGTAGGTTTTTAATTAAAACAAGCTAAATAATCTGCCAGTGGGGTAAGCAAAGTAATCTTAAGTCAAACCCAAAGCAAGATTATTTTACATACCCCATTGCAATGCATTTTTTGCAGCGGGAGAGTTGTTTTCCTCCTTTCCTGTTGTTCAAACTAGAATATTTATGTTACCTGCCACCAGTGTATTCGGAATGTCTGCCAACTTTTTTTCTTAATGTATATAAACCACCTCAGAAGCTGAAATTATGCAGTATGTAATTGATTTTCAAAGCAGGCTGTTGTTCAGACAGGTTAAAACAGCGTTGATTTGATTCTTTATTATACTGTGCCAACTGATTAGTTCCATGTTGTCAATTAATCATGCAAGGAATGTGTACATGGGAAGTTTAAGTTCTACTTGTCAGTCCCCATTTCCTCCGCCACAAATGGTTTAGATGTACTTGTAGCACAGAGGATTTTAATAAGTCCTTGGCGGTTAAGAAAGCCAGCTTGATACAAAATGCCACAGTTTTGTCAGATACAACGCTAGTGTCAAGGGTGACTTTGTATTAAACCACCAAAGCAAAGTCAAACCTTTGTATACTTTATTTTTTCTATCCTATCCCAGAAACAATTCCCCTCTACTTAATAACTCGACCGAGGCAAACAGAGATACCATCTCTGGCTTTTAAAGTTAAAAGCAAAGACAATTTACAAAACAAAAGAAAAGAGTCTTTTAAGGGTCAGTGCAAGCTTCTCTAAGCGGAACATATGCCTGAGAGAGGCTATACCTTTGATAAGACTCAGTAATGGTTTGTGTGTGGATGACTCGGAGCTGACAAGCTTCTTTCATTCTGGCAGAATCATATTTCCCCGTGGCCTCTCTCAGGAACAATGTCTCATTTGCAATGTTGTGTCCGGATATGTTTATCCAGAGGTGCTGTACAGCTAGGGGAAAAATGAAAAGACCACTTGAAAAGTCTGGTTTTTGTTTTTTGTTTTTTTCCTGGAGTTGATGATGGGTTTTCTCTTATGACATTTATTCTGAATTACGAATGAAAAAATTGGTATGTTAACAATTGTTTAATGTTGCACACCATAACAAAAAGGTGTTGTGTTTTCAGTCATGTTTATATGCATTTTAAAACTAATATTTTTACTTTAGAAGTAAAAAAAAAAACATGAAAAATATGCAGTGGTGGAAAAAATATATATACAATTGAGTCAGAATTATTAGCCCCCCTGATTATTTTTTTCCCAAAAATACGTTTAACAGAGAGAAGATTTTTATATATTTTTATATAATTATATTTTTATATTATTTTTAACAATTTCTAATAACTGAATTATTTTATCTTTGCCATGATGACAGTAAATAATATTTGACTATATATATTTTCAAGACACTTCTATACAGCTTAAAGTGACATTTAAAGGCTTAACTGGGTTAATTAGGTTAACTAGGCAGGTGAGAGTAATTAGGCAAGTTATTGTATAATGATGGCTAATAATTTATTTTGACCTTAAAATGTTTTTTTTTTTTTTTATGTAAAAATGCTTTCATTCTATCAAAAATAAAACAACAAGACTAATAAAACAAGACATTCTACAAATGAAAAAAAAAAAAAAAATATATATATATATATATATATATATATATATATATATATATATATATATATATATATATATATATATATATAGACATACTGTGAGAATTACCTTGTCCTGTTAAACATAATTTGGAAAATATTTTAAAAAGAAAAAAAAGGGTCTAATAATTCTAACTTTAACTGTATAATCACAAAAATAAAACACTGTTTCATTAGTAATATGAAAGTATGTCTTCTTAGTAATGTAAAAGTATGTATTGTATTATTTGAGGTTTTTATAATAACACAATTCTAATATATCAATTGTAATATTTTATTTTTTTTATTTTTCTGACCAAGTATAATTTAAATGAATGAATAAATAAATAAAAAACAAATAAACAAACAAACAAATAAATAAATAAATAAATAAATAAATAAATAATTTTATTTGAAATAAAATAATAAATACATTTTCAACATTTTACTTACAACTTTACCTAATAAACTCAGTAAATGCAGAGCAGTTTTCAGGTAGTCTGTGATATTTTCATTTATTTTCCCCTCGCAGTATATATAGTGCGGTCAACAGTTATTTCCCACCAGGTGTTCCTTTTTCCTAAGAAGTCATAAAATCCTATGATTTATTTCATGATGGTTCTTACTTGTTTTATGTGTCCTATTTTTATTGTATATGTTTTTTAACTTCATTAAAATTTATTCAAATGTATAAATATTTATTAAACAAATATGTATTTATTAATATTGGAGCATTTATTTGCCAATTATCAGGTAGAAACTTACAAGAAAAAAAAACAGCTAAAACAGGAAATGATGCTATAAAAGGGACCCCTGCAGACCATTATGACTGTGTCAAGGTACATAAGTTTCTTAAAATATCTAATTTGACCTTTGACCAAGCAAGATTAGTTCAGGTTGCAAAAGTATAATGAGACTTACAAAAAAAAATGTAATAAGAATTAGGAACGAATAATATTGATTCATGATATTTCTTTAAAAAAAAAGTGATGTTTATGCTAAAAAAAAAATACTTCTTCATTTATTTAAGGTACTTCTTCATTCATTTACTTCTTCATTTAAGGTGTATGTACCATGTGAGTAACACTTTAAAATAATTTAAAATAATAATCCATTAGTTAATGTATTTACTAACAAGAACAAACTGTTAGTAATACATTTTTTATTGTATTTATTGTTGTATATATAATGCTGTTATAGTAAATAATGTTAGTTCATGTTACTCTCAGTGCAATGACTAATGTTAACATTCATTATGTTAACATGCATTAGTTAATGTTGAACTATGGTTAATAATGGTTTACAAGGTTATTTAATGTTAGCATATGAATTAACCAATGGCCCATCATTCCAAAGTGTTACCAAAATATGTCATCTATTTTTTTTTTTTTTTTTTTTTTTTTTGTTTACTTGATGGTTGGCAGTTTATTCCACTGTGGTGACCCCTGATTAATAAAGATGTATAAATGAAAATTAATGTATACATGAGAAGTTGATGGTTACACTGCCTGATAATATTTGAACTGAAAACAAAACCAACATAAATCCCCCTCAAAAATTGCCATTATTATTCATACTATCTAAAATGCTATTTACTGAATGATCTCACAGGTACGGGTGCCGCTTTGGTGCTTGTAGTTTGTAAACACTTCCTCTTCTCAAGTCCCGTGTGATGTTACGGCCCATCGAGGCTGTTCAGACGGCACTCATGGGCGTGATTGTTTTCCTAAGTCAAGTATTCATTGCAGGTTTTGTGTTTCTTTATTTTCACTCTCTCTCTTTCCCTCTGTGTCTTTCCAGCACAACATGCCTTTCTGGAGGATCTCTAGTCACTCTGACCTCATGGCCCTGCACCACGCTCTGGACCTGGAGTATTTGTAGCACTGTGACGGCCCCGTTGCTCCGTCCCCGGGCCATTCAGGGGCCCCTGCAGACCCAGCACCATCAGCCTGCTGCGTCGCCCGAGCGTCTGCGTTCTGATAGCACCAGACCAAAAAAAATAAAAAATAAAAAATGTTCACATTCAAACATACAGAGAGAGACTCAGCGTGTTGACACATGGCCGCAATTCGTCTTAACCCTAAACCTTTTTCGAAGTGGAGGAGAGTGAATTTATGGCACTGCAGCTGCTGGCCCTGGTTACTGTGAATTGGCTTTTTTTTTTTTTTTTCCGAAGCCATCAAAATGTTTTACAGCCCTGTCTACGCGGGGGGACTCGGCAAGGGTTCACACCTGTGACAAAAACTGAGCTACCGATGCCTTTGGAACTCAGCAGGACTCCGATCCCACTGCGACTTGGTGTAATGTTTTGTCTCTTCATGTCTTTTTTTTAAACGATGGTACAAAGACTGTCGGGCAAGGCCCCTTGCTTTTCTTTTTCCTCGTTTTGCCAGCTCTCCCTATTGTCCAGGATGTCCTTCGCTTCTTATTTATAATCCCAGAGACTTTGTGGAGTGGCACTGGCCCTAATAAAAAAAAGGCAATTTGTTTTAGAAAGACTTGTGCCTTTTCAGATCAAGTACTTTGATTACTTCTTGAACAAGAAGTTTATGGAGGAAACACGAAAAATGGATTTTCTAAGTAATTTAAGGAAGAAAAAAAACTACAAATTTAAGGAAATGTTATTTACATTGCAGAGACAATCGTGTACAGGCATTTTTTTGTTCTGTTGTGTGTGTAAATTTGTAATCACTGGACTATTCCTTCCTATATTGATTAAGGTACATGCTGTGGAAAGCTGTTTCATGGAAGTACTTAAGTACATAAAGGCGTTTGCGCAGTAGCTCGCGCAAAGCTTGAAAGTGTTGACGTTTTCATTCAATAAATGTGTAGATTTTGTTTTTTTGTGATAATTTTTTGTCATGACCAAAAGCATGGATGTCACGTGTCAATAATTACATTTTTTTTTTCTTTTTAGTGATGTTTTGTTTCCTACTGCAAAAAAGTTTTATGCTTAGATTTTTTGTTTTCTTTCAAGTCCATATATCTAAATATTCTTAGATCAAGAAGCTTTTTATAGGTAAACAAAAAAATTTTTTTTTCAGAAATAATATGCTAATATTAAGTTTGAGTTTTTAATAAAAAATGCTAAATAATCTGCAAATGGGGTAAGCAAAATAACCTTGTTTTTCCTTTTGACTTTAAAAAATAATTTTATTACCCCATTGGCAGATTATTTTGCTTGTTTAAAGGAAAAACTCACTTCATTTTGGCATATTGTTTCTTAAAACAAGACAATATGTTTTGCTTGTTTAGAAAATTCTTCTTGATCTAAGAATTTTTAGAAATTTGAACTAAAAACAAGACACAAAATCTAAGTAAGAAAATCATTGTTTTGCAGTGTAGTAGATTTCTGGTGGTGAGACTGATGAATGGTGGAAATTAATTTAAGTCCAGACTGTAGCTCAAACTCCAAGGAAGAACATAATCAGCGTAACATTAATAATACCAACAATAATAATCTTCTGAATGTCAAGCTTTCAAAACTGAGTGTAAATGTCTGTGTTCCCTAATATTATCCCGAGTCGGAGCGTCCTGGATGGGGAATTAAGCTTCAATAAGCTTTTATTATCTTTTGTACAACAGCAACTCTTGTACAGCAAGTGTAATTTTTGTATGAAGTAGTCTTTTTATTTTGATTGTGTCCACTTGGAAATCGCTGTAGTCGAATTTTCATGATGCATATTGGTAGTTCTAAGGTATCGGTGGACTGGAAACTTTAGCTCTTAGACTTTAAGAAAGCCACTACTCACTCACACCTACACACACACACATGCAATGGAGTTGAGAACATACATGTGCTATCGACTGTGAATTTCCCCAGCTAACTCGATCTGTTTTTAATTTTCCCTCCCGGCACATGATGATGATGTTCGGCTCCTGCAGGTGAGGTCGTCTTTTCTGGCCTAGTTTTTCTCAGCACATTTACAATTTCAGCCTTTCGTATTGCATCGCCCGCCACCCCTTCCCCTCCATATCGCCCCCATTACTGGGGAATCACATTTTGCTGCTAGATCACAGTAACAATAGATGTTTTCTAGATTTACCACGGCATTTTTTTTAAACAAATTATGCAATCATAATGCAAACTGGAAATAATTTACAGTTTATGTGGGTCTCATTGTGAAACACAGTTTGTTGTGTCTGCAAAAAAAAAAATAGAAAAAAAGATGTGTACAGATGTTTTTGACATTTATTATTTGATTGTGTTTAAATTAATAAAAACTGATTTGTGAACTGTTACACGCAATTTTCCCCCTTTTTGCGAGCAATTGAAATGGTGCCTCTGCAATTTTCTGCTATCGAGTTTGTATTTATTAACTGTTTGGTTTTTAGAATGGCAGACATCTGATGGTACTCGTAGGAGTATCTGATGTTTGTCCAGAGATCATTATATTAACATTTTACATGCACAGGATGACTTTATAAAAGTCTTTTTAAATCTGTTTTATTATGGGAATGTGGCCTCTTCTGTCATTTGGTGGTCTGCAATTCAGCATTTTGCCCCCGACAGATTCTCAGACAACACGTCATGTAAGGCACTTTTGTTTGAAACATTGTAACTGATGTAATCCCCTATAAAAAGGCTCTCATCTCTGTGCAAAGCAACTGTTAAAACAATATGTGGGATTTCAGAGTGTACATTTATTATCAACATTTTTAGTTGATTTCGCTTCCAGATGCATAGATGATGCTATACTGTATGTCTCGGCATTTATATGACTTTTTTTGCCAAAAACGTGAACGTTTTTGTGTATTTTGCCAGTTTGGTTCCATTTTTGTGACTAAAGATCATAGACTGTAAAAGATATGGACGTAGTATTCGTGACATCACCCAAAGGTTACTGAAGAGCGCAAATGAGCTACAAATCCCAGTCATCCACCGCTCACATACACATGTTCCAGACTCCTCTGATTGCACACACTCACAGCTGAAGGATCATCATAGACTGATTACAAGGACTATAAAGTCAGCATACAACAACACAGAAGTGGCTGAGTCTTCTGTCACGTGAATTGATGCAGAGAACAGAGTGCAGATCCAAATGCAGGTTTATTGAGAGAATGGTCAGGCAAGCAACGGTCAACGCAGGGGCAAACAGATGTACACAGGCAATCCAGAGTCGTAGTCGTAGTAAATAATAGGCAGATGGTCAAAAAGGTGAGAAGCATACAACGTAAACAAACAAATCAAAGTGAGGGTCAAAAACACAGAAGACAAGGAAAATGCACAGTAATGTTCACTTAATAGTTCAACAAGAGGTGTGTGTGAAACAAAGGGGTTTAAAGTTTATTCTCAATTGCTTCGGTGCATGTCTCACAACACTATTTACATCTGCACAACAGTTGATGCATTTTTCAAAATAGTTAGTCATTTGAGCACATCATAGTAGCAGTTTCTCATTCCTTCCAACAAATTGTAAATGCTGTTGGACATGCATCAATTGCTTTCATACAACTCTCTGCTGTTTTACAACATTATTATTCGCTTGTGTCATGTCAGTCAAGATTAACTAAACGTGTTAATGCTGAATTGTCTTTCAATATAAAACTAATCGTCCTCATTACATTACTTATGTTGTTACATACAAAAATGGTGAACAAGTTGTCAAAATCTGTCAAGCTAATTGTATATATATATATATATATATATATATATATATATATATATATATATATATATATATATAAATAATAAATGTTTTTTTTTTCTGAAAATGTCTTCTAAAATGAACAATTCCATTAATGATTTACAGACCTGTATATGTTGTAGGTTCAGTTCTAATATGTCCTGCAATATTGTTTACCGTTGTGCACAGCTCAACCCAAAGGGAGTTTATGTTTGTTGTGAATAAGGGTGTGTTTATTATTTTGCACAATGCTTGCAAAGAGAATATATAGTAAAAATGTCAAACATGCATATTCAGTCTTGTACTCAGATACCTCACTAAATGCAGTGATGCCTAACTTTACTGTAGTTTTCATTCACCTGTACCACATGTCTTTGGACTGTGGGGGATACCGGAGCACCCGGAGGAAACCCACACGAAGGCAGGGAGCACATGCAAACTCCACACAGAAACGTCAACTGAGCCGAGGTTCGAACCATCAACCTTCTAGCTGTGAGGCGACAGCACTACCTACTGTGCCACTGCCTCGCCTAACGACATCAATACTTGCTTTTGAGAAATGAGCTATCCATTTTGAGCAAGTGACAAGCTTTTGCAAGTTATCAACTAGGTTTTGCAGTTTGTTATATTTGTTTTGAGAAATGCAGTAACTGTTGTACAGAAATCCATTAGTGTTTTGAGAAACGCACCAAAGTGACTAAGAAAAACTGCAAGCATTTTCAAGAAGTGTCACCAAAATCGGACTTTTTTTTGCATTGGATTGTACAGAGTAAACTGTCATAACGAAAACATGACAAAGCCGTTTGACTATCACGTTCATAAACAATGGTGTCAGGACTTTCCATCTTGATGACACTGACACTTTCATCAACATGAATACTTGCTATTCAGAAATGAGCTATCCATTTTGAGCAAGTGACACGCTTTTGCACATTTTCAACTACGTTTTGCAGTTAATACTAATTGTTTTGAGAAATGCAGTAAGTGTTGTGCAAATATAAAGTGTTCTGAGAAATGCACCAAAGCCACTGAGAAAAACTGTAAATAGTCCAAATAATCAATGATCATGAGTATCAGCCATGTGTGTGCATGTCCAATGACTGTCAGCTGTGGCAGAAGTGATTGGTGCAAAGGCTTCTGGGACATGGAGTTCAATAGGAAGTGATTTCCAAATGGAGAAAACACAGCTGGTGATTGCTACAAACTACAGGAAGTAATCTTCAGCAGAGAACACACTGCTGGTTATCACAACATGTTTACAATCTCTTTCACTGGTTGGTGATTGTTTCGCACGCAGTGAACAGTGAAAAATAAATAATGGCATAGTGGTCTACCTAAACAGTATTTTTATTTTCAAAATGACTTAAAGACAATCAAGCAAATTTTCATTTTTTAAAACCACGACTAAATTTGAAAATGAGCCTGATCATGAGATCTCAAGAAAATTGAACTGTGCCCCTGGATTAGGAAAGCTGGAGTCAGATCAACAACAACATGACGGAAGAGCTTACTGTGGGCTCTTCTTGAAGATTAGACTGAGTGAGTCATTTTATTATCTTTTGTTCATTTGGAAGAGAACTGAATGTCAGTGGTGTTAGTAAACTGAAGAGTGATGTTTCCAAAGATTTATGTTTATTGCTGTTTGTTTGTTCTTATCCATGATTGACCCATAACGTTATATGGCACAAAACAATTAAAGATCATTTAGAAAGGTGATGCGCTTTTGTTTTGCTATCATCATTTAATGACATCATGTTCCAGGAAAACTGAATTTTTAGGGTGGACGTCGGTCACAGTAACTTGTACTGTATTTCTTGGTGTTGTTCTGGAAACTATTCATTTACAAATTAAGCACGGATTTAGATGGTTTTGACCACCAGGTATGTGCTGTTTCAATGCTTCAGAATGGTAAATAATTTTGCAAATGTTCAGTTGTTTTGAATTTTTCAAAAGCTTAGTTTCTCTGATCAGTAACATACACATCATTGTCGGGCCACCGATCGCATCATCATTTTCTTTTATAGGTGACCGAGCCAAATACTGGCCTGGCATATATTATACAGCTTTTGTCTGTTTTCGTAGATGTTTAAATGAAGGGAAGTTTAATATTAAACTAATTTCGAGAGGAGCACATGCTCATGATTGACCCAGCTGCACCAGACAACTAACTTTGTCTGAAAGAACCTAATTGGTTCTAATATGATTTCCCTATTTAGAATTTGAAAGGAATACTTTTCTGAAATTGTATTATTAAGGAGAGTATCTGAATATCCGAATATAAAACCAACTTTACTTTTATCTCAGCCATCTGGTATTTCTGTGCAAAATTTGCATGCTCTCCCCGTGTTCCATGTGGGTTCCCCGGGTTTCCCCCCACCCTCCAGATATGCTCTATATTATAGACAAAATAAGCCTAAATCTTTTTTTCAGTGTCTAACTCTAAGGAAATTCTCCTTAGCCTCAGCTACGGGAGAGTTTTGAGATCGACCTGAGCTCAATCTCTCCTCGCCCTGCGAAAGAGAGAGAGCCTTTGGCCAGAGGATCCCTTGAGTTCAGGGCTCTCTCCTGAGACAGCACGCCAAACAAGCTATTTATAAATCATGAGCTAAGTGTGAATTCTTGAATTATTTTTAAAAGTGTAAAAGGGATTTTTTTTTTAAACATTTCTATTTTTGATTACATCATTATCATGTAAACAGGAAAAATGCATATCGTTTTGTTCTGACTACTGTCTGATCATATTTCTTAGCAGGTAGCTTTGATTTTTTTTTTCTGCTGTAGCCATAAATTCTGGATTTTGATGAGGGGAGTGAGGTATAATCATTCTACGCAGGCACCGCAGATTTGTCAGTCAGGCGGTTTGTGTTATTCTTGGGGATAGTTGAAGGTGAAACCCTCACCTAATTGTGATTTTTCTTTGCACCACAGCCAAATGCTTCCAATAACAGCTCCTCTCCACAAATGTTTCGTTGTGTTTTTCGAAAAAACACAGCGCTCGGCCACTTGCAGTTGGGAGTTGAGTTGGTTTATATAACGCATGAAAAATATTTATGAGGTTGATTTTATGAGGTGGCCAAAATGAAGATGTAACGAGAGACTGGCAAAGGAATAGAGGCCGTTCCTGCAAACGCTCTGAAGAATCAAGCATTCATGGAATCTTATTTTACACGGTTCTGTTCTTCAATATTGAAGGCAATTATGTTTTCAGATGGCATCTAAGCAATATGCCAGGGGACTTTAAGGCTGCCAGGAGGAGCAGATAGAGCTGTTATCCTTGGAATGCAAAGCTTTTCCCACTTCTCAGCACCTGAAAGCAGAAAGCTTTATGAGGCTTATAAACTATGATAGGATATAACTGGATTTTGTTCACTTTATTTGGATCTGTTTTGTGTTTGATTAAAACTAGCTCTGGTGCAGTTTGACTTAAATATAAATGAAGAAATCCAACAATGACACAGTTCTATCAAAAACAGTAATAGGTCAGAATCTGGGTATAATTAGTAACTAGATACTGTAATTAGAAAAAATTCCTGCAATTTAGTACAGTATTACTTATTTTTTTAATGTAATTTAATTTAAATTGCATATAATCAGTGTTGGCCAGTAGTGTC